TTATTATAAATTTACAACTATTTAACATAATTGGTATAATTGGTAAAGTGGTCACCGTGACCACGCACGCTGTAAAGCACGCGAAACGTCGGATAAATTTAAAATTATGTTAAATAGTTGTAAATTTATAATAATACATAACTTCAATCCGGTTAATCAGTTTTTTCTTTAGATAAACCACTCCTTATATGGAAATAGCATTCATATTTACAACAAACTCCCAAGCGAAATTAGAGAATATCACTAAATAAATTCAAAGCCCTCGTTATACTTAAATTAATCAATACAGCTTCTTATAAATTTGACGAATATTTAAATGATCCCAATCCTGGATTGGGATTGATTTGCTCCAGTTCAAACAATTTGTATGACTCAAAACTTAGTGACTAAAAAGAGTGGCGGAAAGTTTCTCGCCAGTTCTTCTTGCCCTCACTACGCCCTTGACTTGCGAACTGATAGTAAATGTAAATTTACAATTAATTTAACTCTTTTCTGACGTTTATAAGTGTACTAATTTACCTATATAAATAAATAAAAATTTGAGTTTGAGTTTATGTTTTATGGAAAAGGGGGGCAAACTAGCCTACGGGACGCCCAAAAAGGGCAGTCATCGCACATATTTTAGTGAGTACGTTGCCGGATGTTTATTATTCATCAACAGCCCTCGGTGTAGAGGTTTGCTGAATCTGCCACTAAATAAATCGTATGGGAAGCTGAAATAGATTTAAAAATGTTTAAGTTGTGATATTTTCAGGCATAAAAAAGGCATAAAATATTTCTCCTGTCTTCATTTTTTTCTTATATTAATAAATAGTTTGGAAACTAAAAAAAGTGCATTGTGACAAGCGCGATGTTACGCCATCTCTGTGCTGCTATACGGCGTCTTCTTTTTGGACTGGAACCTTAACCCTGATATGGAAGCTTTCGAAATCTGGGTTAATCAAAGTATGCTTAATTATCTTGGACAGACTGCAATACCACCGTGCCAGACGGAATGCAGAAGAACAAAGAATGCTTAAGAAAAAGAAACTTGAAAAAAAACAAAGAGTGGCGGAGAGTTTATTGCATGTTCTTCTCTTCCGTTCTATGCCCTTGGTTTGAGAAGTGGCAGTAAATGTAAAATTAGAAGCATTTCATATATTTTTTTTTCACGTTCATAAGTGTACATTGTCTTACCTATATGAATAAATGATTTTGACTTTTGAATATTTCCGACACAAAAAAATACGAGCTCCTTCAACTTGCTTGTTCTGATCTGATCTGGCCGCAGACGTCTTGGTTGAAGAATCTTAGACAATGGTCAAAATACCAAGTCATTGTTCTGAAGCGCATCATCCAAAACATTTGTCTTTGATAATATTGTACGAATCTTAAAGAATGGGAAATGATTACAAACATAAATATCCCTTAATAATAACTTTTAAGTATCTATGCACGTAAAACTTAAATTAGTTTCAGTTACATTTCCTGAAAGTAGTTAATTATAATAATTAAAGCAATGGTATAGAGTGGCGAAATTATTTGTACTTAGTGTAACGAAATATCCTAAGAGGTTTCCACATTTATTTTCCACTATATTTCTTTGTATTTTATTATGAATAAAATAGTTTGTATTCATAAGTAAGGCGAAGGTAATCCACATTTCTCTCACTAAGCGTACCAATTTTTAATTATGGTACTGTGAGGGTCCATGGACTTGGGTAATCACTTGACACAGATAATCCTTCTGCCCATTAGCCGTCTGTTTTATACAAAAAAATAATATTGCAGAATTTATATATTAATACTAGCTAGCTCTCTCGGCAAACGTTGTTTTGCCATGTATACTATTTCTAGGAAACATTTTTTATAGTTCAATAAAAATAACTATCTACTATACTATAACATAGGAGTTGATACAGGGGTGAAAATTAGGGGTTATATGTATTTTTGTATGCTGTATCATAAGAAAATAAAAACAAAAAATTGTCTAAAAGATAAAAATTTTTTTTGGAGTGGACATCCCTTATCACTTAGGGGTTTGAAAGGTAGATAGTAGCCGATTCTCAGACTTACAGAATATGCATAAAAATTTCATAGGAATCGGTCGAGCCGTGTCGGAGGAGTATGGGAACGAACATTGTGACACGAGAATTTTATATATTAGATTGTAAATCAGGTGAATTGACTTGTTTAATTTATAGTCTAAATTTAATTTCGACAGTTTGTTCTTTTATTTTACAAAAATCACTTAGCTTTAAAGATTTCCCCTAATCAGTGACCAAATATTATAGTTAATTGAATTCAAGTAAATTGATGTTACATCGATTGAACAATTGATAGACAATGGTGAGAAAACGTTTAGGTATAATAAATTTACTGTACCAAAACATATAACAAAAATTGATGACTTTATATTCTATTGCTGCACATGTTTGGTAGACTTTGTAGGGTAGACCGAGGCGAATCGGATCACTGGGCGAATCGGATCAAAATAAGAAATCTGTTGATAATTTAAATATCACATTCACATAGAACGCACTCAACCGGCGTTTTGTGTCTCTCCATTTACTGAGCACCTCCTGACATAAGCAGTATTTCGATCGGGCTTGTGGATCAGTGGCAATGCCGCTCGTCAGCCACTCGGTTTTTTGTGTGTGTCGCAATTTGGCGCTCATCTAAGGTACGTATTTACGATTTCTTTGTGTCATATGACGGATTTGTCTTAAACTTAAACTACATTGGTTTTTATTGTTAAGCAAGGTGTTTATATTAAAGAACCAATTCGCTTTTAAGTATAATCTTAGAGGGTAACGTCTAAAATATTTGTTTCAAAAGTCTTAATTATGGGGCTAATCGGATCATATACTCAGGGGCGAATTGGATCATACTTTTAAACTGATTTATTACATGTTTGAGGGTATTGATTCATATTTATTTCATTGTAGATGGTTCGCACGTACAAGAGAAACACTGATGCCGGAGAATGGTCTCAAAAAAAAATGAAAGAGGCTGTAAATAAAGTCCAGAACAAAGAGTTGACCTTACGTAAAGCTGCTAAGATTTTTTCAGTACCGTTCACGAGCTTACAGAAAAAAAGGACCATATATATGTGAAAATTGATCTCATTATCAACTTTTTACTGATTCCAAAGTTATTTAACACTATACCTTAAAATTTTGTTATATGTTGTGTACGATCCGATTCACCCCGAAAGTTGGGGCGATTCGGATATTTTCCTTTTTTAGTTTTTACTAGGTAATTAAGAGAATATATGTATGATTTTAGTTTTCAAATGTTTATTGCATAGCTAATTGCTACTTCTTACGATTTTAGCAATAAAAATAACATTATATAACACTTTAGTATGATTTGCTCAACCTCAAAGAAAAAGTGATCCGATTCGCCTCGGTCTACTATACGTCTATTTAATTCGTTTTTTTATTCCACAGACATAAAGGCCTTTTGTAAACTTAGCAAATAAAGTGATTGTTGTTCTTAATTTTGTTTCCACAGGAACCGAACCCCCGATTTTAACAAATTGAAACGCAAAAGAAGTCAATAGCTTCAAAATATTTATTCCATATGTATATATTAAATAAGCTCGTAAATACAAACTCGTTTAGAAGATAAATGTATTATAATGAAAGCTGTATATAATCCACTTAAGAAGTTAAAAATTCAATTTCAGTGAAACTTTTAAAACGCTTTAGATATTAATTTTCAAAAAAAACCTGCGAGCCAGACGAACTTAGTCAATATTATGCAAATTAAGTAAGTTTTTTTCAGACTAATTGCTCGGAACTCTCTCGTTGCTTTAGAAAGATGGTCAAGCATGAGTTGGACTGTAAACCTTTCTTACCAATTGTGTTTTTTATTGTATAACAGACCTTTATTAGTCAGGTAAACTTAAAGTGAGTTCAGTTTAGGTATAACATTAGTCACTTGTATGTAGCTGATGATGTTCGGCGGATAGAGGCGGCGTATCTGGGCCATGACCGCTACCACCTTCTTCAATTAATAATCATGGGTAAAATCCATGGCAAACGGCGTGTTCTTAGAAGGATAAAATCATGGCTTTGTAACGTTAGGGAGTGGACGGGTATTGCGACTGCGGAAGAGTTATTGCATCTGGTACAGCCCTGCGATTCTGTAACTCACTTTTCGAACACACACAGCGGTTTTCGCATCGGCGGTCGCTCTCAAATCAGTCGTGAAGCAGTCATTTTATGATTTGGCATTCTGAAAAGGTGGGAGCTTGTAGTTTATTGTTTATCAGATATGTTTATGCGAGTTACAGAATCGCAGGGCAGGACAAGACACGCTTCACGAGACTGACAACCAACCTGCAGTAATGAAGAAGCACAAAAAGATAAATTGAACAAAGTAATCGCTTAAAGATTTAAATTATCGTTAAATCGTCTAAATGCTATAGAATAATAATAATACCTATAGCCTTTAAATTCCGAAACTGTGATATATGAACTTTAATACATTTTCATCGTCTATATTGGTCTAATATTCTTCAATTAAATATTATTTTGTTATAATATGTTACAGCTACAGATGATCAGAAGATTGTGTGTACACTATATTTTGTATAAAATGTAAACAATTAAGTATTTTGTCTAAATAAAGCGCTTGGCGAATTAATACAAAACCATCATTATTGCGTAGAACGAAATAGTGCACTTAATTGAGTTCGTGCAGAAATTCATGTAAACGTTAAATCTTTGAGATAGACATAATTAATTACTATAATTTAATACGTTTTGTTACATAATTAAATTGTGTTTTAGATTTGTGCAGACTGTCGAGTGTCGACCAAATTTCTAAACGTAAAGCCGCAAGACTTTGACTGCTGACATTATTATGACTGTTTAATGTCAATAACAATGACAATTGTCATATATCTGCCAAATGTCAATTTAAAAACATTGAATTTGCATTTTGCCTATGCCGAATTTATTGCTATTGTAATTTTGAAAAATTTTGAATTTCTCCATAACTAACGTCCAGTAATGGCTGGGAAAGTGAACAAGTTTGAAACGCCGAGCTCAGCAAGCTCAGATAGGTAAATCTCGTATATTAACCTTAATTTATGTTTGTTTGTACAGCTGTGTCGTGTCAACAATTTGCTATGTAGAAGGCTGTATTTCAGCCATTCAGTTTGATTTTGGTCATGAGAAAAATCGCACGATATACCGTTAGTTCATTGTTGTCGTGGCCATAACAAGCAGTGTTCAGATTTGAAAAGATCGTTGTCCGAGAGACGTGGGTTCTAACCTCTTGGGTACACATTGTGACTTATTTTTAGAACGTAATAGCAAATTTTCATGCTGTGTAATTAAGCTGTGATTCATACACGTGTCCGGAAGATACCGTAAACAAAATTATCTTGATTGCATTTTACAGTAAACATGGAGAAAACTACACTGATTAGCAATAATGTGTAAGATCAATTGCCCTTTTATATCAACTAGATGTTGCAAATATTATCAAATAATTATTATGAATAATCTTATGTTTTCATTATAACATAAGATTATTCAGTCTTTTAAATAATTTGTTTCTTATAAAAACATTAGTCATAGATAAAAATAGAAACAACAATATTTTACAATTGATAAGATGGTAATCTAAAATAAAAATTATATAGAGATAACATAGGCTCATAATGAAAACCTAAAAGTAATTTTCACAATAATTTTATATTAATTTTATTTTGGTTCTCTTACAAATTAATTAAAAAGTATTGTAATTAGTGATGAACTGTGGGAAGCATTTCTTATCTTTAAAATGTTTGAATTAAATATAATTTTATGGAGAAATACACATTACATATCCTTATTAAAAAGTATATTTTTTATATAACTAAAGGCTTGGTCTAAGAAAACCTTCTACTCCTACTAACCTACTACCTTCTATTTTAATATTATTTAAAAACGAAACATCTATTATGAATTTTCCCAAGATTATGTAACATGTTGCACAAATTGTCAATAAGCCTTTAGCAACATTACAAATTTTACTCAATAAACTTAACTGACTATATAAAGTATTTTATAATAATTGTAACACCTTTATTAATTATGTGTTTTTGTGGTTGCCACATATTATGCCATATGGCACATACACACCCAGATGCCAAGGGCTCTATTCCCAGTAAAATAATTGTTTTACACAGTGAGCTAAATACATACAATTTTACTTGAAATTTGTTTTAATAATTGAGCTTATTTCAGATGGCCCATGCCCAATTAGGGGGTAATGGAAAAACAAAAACAAACACCATCTCTCAATTAATGAATAAAAGTCAATGATAATATATCAAGTGCACTTGACCTTATTTTCATGTTTCAACTCAATGATATTGGTCAAGGTTGAATGACTTTTGCACTTTTAATTTTTTATTTAATAAAATTAAATGTCAATGAAATGTATACTTGTTATTTTATTATAATTTTGTCATTTAAATTAAGGAGGAATTGAAAAAGCCTTGATCATTAGATATGTTTATTTTATTGTTAGTATTTGAACAAAACAATCATAAAATTAAAGTTATATATTACATACTTTTTAACAAAAGTTATCAATTTAAATTAAAAGTTTTTAACAATAGTTAGTAATATTTGTATGATATAGATCAACAAATATCAATCAATAAAAATGGGAGCATCCTTCAACTTAAAAATATATTATATGGTAATGAAAACATAAATTGCAGTGACTCTGAATTAGCATTGGAGATAAGTGAGCAAGTGTTTATTGATGATGAGGATTACAATCGGGCTCCAGCTTCACCTACTACTGTCCCCAACGTAAGGTCATATAGACCTCCTTCCACAGGTAATTTTAAACTTTGTTTACCTTAGGCAGTGATGTAAATGCCTCAGTCACTTATATGATACACCAAATTGTGTTTCAGCTAATTTTCAACTTTTAATTGCCTACCTGTTTGACCTTTAGACACTTACAATTTGTTTCTGCTTTTTTATCTGTAAAGTAGTCGGATTTACCAAACTTTCCTGTCTAAGACATTAAAATGTGTGTATACTTAGTATTCACATTGTAACATAAAATATCTGTAAAGACAGCGCTGAAGTCATAAAATGTTATTTTTAAGCTGACCTAGAATGGCTTTCAACTTTACACAATAACATCTCAATAAGAGCTAATTACGAAGGTTTTATACTTGAGTATTAACAAGATTGTGTTGCAATATAAAGTTGAATTTATATGGCATTGTGTTGGTTTCATATAAAGTGCTTAAGTAATACGAAATTACTCGTTTTCGTCACTCGAATCTTAATTGTGTCATATTAATTGAACTACCAATAAGCCGTTTTAATTATGTTGAAATAATATATGTACTTTTTATAAATTGGTCTGTTAAATTATTATTTATGTAATGTTTTTCATATGTCGAGTGACATAACAGACACACAGTAATAGGAAACTTGCTTGGTAACACTTTTAAATAATGCATTCGTAGAATTGTATATAATTTCAAGAAACATGAAAAAACCAACTTGAAAATACTTAATTATCATATATACGACACAAATATATGATGCTTTGCGTCTTGTTTTATCAAATTTGCCACACTGGATTTCTCATTAGGGACTACAGATTTTTAAGAAATATTTGGGAGTGTTTAGTGTTGGATTGTTTATAATACATAATTGGATTCAGTACAGACTCCACGTGAACCAAAACATTGGATTTATAAAAAAAACTGCGAAGACAAAAAATTTCATTAGATTTTACTATGATATTTTTGTTTTATAACCAACCATGGTTAGCGTTTTTGGTTAGATGTTAACTAATAGGTCAGGACATTTAATGTTATTATTAGTGTCCATTTGCAAATTGGTAAACTTGTCAAATTTATAAGAACATACAATTAATTGTTGATTGTTTTAACATGAAATTTTAGTACAATTATTAGGGCGAAGTATGATGCATACCGTATCCCAATGAATAAAGGTATCTAAAGGTAATGAACAATAGAGCATCGAACCTGTTTACCTGGGTATTCATGTTTATTCATTCGTTGTTCATGACGTTTTTGGTATAATTACGTTTAGGATTGCATCGTTTTGGTCGCGAATGCGAAACTCTCGTAGATATATAACCCAAATAAACAAACAAGTATTAGTTTATGACTCTAAAATAAACATTATTATTATTAAAAAATAGTAGCATTAGCATAGCAAAACATTGTATGTAGAGAAAAAAAATATTTCAGTACTCTTTTCCTTAAGCACAAAATCAGTTCGGCAGTTTCACAACCGCCTCCTGTTGGATCACAGGCCACGTCCAGCGGACATAAATAAGAATGACATTTATTTATTATTCTCTTCTGATACATGTCATTATTTTGGCTCTTGATAACTTCTGAGCTCCTAGTACTTAGATTATTTTATTCTTTCCAAAAACTAATTTTCATTTCCGAATCACGTGAGGACGTGCTTTTAAATTTATATTTTATTTGACCACATATGTCATTTTATTTAAATGGTATATGAAATATCTTAAAAAGAATAGACCCTTTTTTGATGCGTTAGTGATTAAATATTATTCTGTAGAAGCTGTAACAGATAACAGGTCACTTGAAATTATTTCAGGCTCAAATATCCTAAAGTCTCCCCGCGGCAGACGAGTTCGAACCACATCAATGTCTCAACCAAATAAGAAGACCACGGCAGAGAGTATACTGCATGCAGACAGAAGAACGATATATACGGCGGGAAGACCGCCCTGGTACAACTGCACTGGAGGACAGGAGGTGGAACCTTTTCTAATTGGTAAGATTTATATTAATTATAAGCCTTTATTCATCCACATCTTATTGACATTAACCCTTTGGTAAGATTTACTTAGATATTTTTATCAGTTTTGTCTCTTCATATTTCTTAAAAAGTACTAATGAATCTTGACCAAATCTAAATCGAATAGAAAAGTTTTTGTACTATATAATAGTTTGTGAAAATTAAATATAATCCCAAAGAACTAAAACTAACATAATTGAACTGATTGATTATGTATCTGTTTCTTTGTACACGATTCCCTTGCTAGTAGTAATTGAATTAGTTTATTTATTCAATTGTTTTAAGGTATAGTACATTACATATTAAAAATGTGTACTTAGAGGGTCTCCACAATTGTTTCCTTAGTTCTTTATGAAGATACTTCTTTACAGGAATATGTGGTGCCAGCGCTTCTGGCAAAACCACAGTAGCCGCCAAAATAATTGAATCTCTCAACATACCCTGGGTTACAATTGTCAGTATGGACTCGTTTTATAAGGTGTGTGCCGTTTAATTCAGACGCCATTTATGAGGGAACTATTTTATTAATATTCGTGAAGCATTCATTATTATATATATTTGAGAAATGATATTTATTTTGTCGAATTCCGAAATGAAAGCTAATAATGCTCAAAGAATGATACAATGATGAATTTCGATTTATAGGTCACATGTGTTTTATTGTTGCTGTTCATAATATTTATAGTCTATGGTGAATTACTATTTTTCTTAACCGCGCCGCGAAAAATTCACTCAACGAAAGCATCTTTGTCATGATAAAATTCCTTTTTTTAAATAAAACAACTACGTATTAACACCTCTCATCTCTGACTCTCATGTAACTTCGTGACTCTCATCCCTGTGGACGTAGGTACGATCCCCGGCTGTGCACCAATGGAATTTTCTTTCTATGTGCGCTTTTAACATTCGCTCGAACGGTGAAGGAAAACATCGCTAGGAAACTGGCTCGCCTTCGACACAAAAAGTCGACGGCGTGTGTTAGGCACATGAGGCTGATCACCTATTTGCCTATAAGACAAATGATCATGAAAAAGATTCAGAAATTTGAGGCCCAGACCTAAAAACGTTGTAGCGCCACTGATTTTTTATCAACACCCATTTATTTATCCTCTTATTTCAGGTGCTAAATGAGAAGCAGCATCACGCGGCGAATCGTAATGAATACAACTTCGATCACCCGGATGCGTTTGACATGGAGCTTCTGGAAAGTGTCCTCCAGCGTTTAAAAGAAGGGAAGAAGGTGGAAGTTCCTATTTACAATTACGTTACACATTCGAGGGAGAACCGTACTGTAAGTATACAACTAACTTGATATGTGAGTAGGGATAATGTAGCGTTGGAAAGAAGTTTATTTGTTGCAAATCTTTCGTCCTTATCTTCTTCGTGATCTTCCATCTTGAAAAGTCCTAACCGATACGACTTGCTGCCCCCACACCACTCTATCCTCAGGTTCTGTGGCATTGGGGATGTTGAGACTCATAGTTGTCTTTATTTGGTCAATATCAACGGATAGGCGATCGACTCCAACTTCTGCCATAATTCCTTCCTACCATATTATATTTCATCATCGGACGTCAAGGCAAATACAAAATACCATCCGTATCACCTCGACGTCCGTCGTTCCACAACTGAGCGTTTATCAAGGCAGTTTTTGCCGCGCACCACCACTATGTGGAACCAGCTGCCCACAGAAGTATTTCCGAACCAATACGACTTAGTGTCCTTCAAGAAAAGAGCGTACCAATTCTTGAAATCCCGGCAACGCACTTGCGAGCCTTCTGGCAGTGCTAGTGTCCATGGGCGGCGGTATCACTTAACATCAGGTGAGCCTCCTGCCCGTTTGCCACCTATTACATAAAAAATTTTTTTTGCAAATAACTATTATGTTCATTAACAACTATATCAGAGATTGTAATCAAAGAACTGCTCTGTAAATCTTGCCTTTAGAAATTTTATTACCTCCCCTTGATAGTATAACGGTAGTGATCTCTAAAATATTGCAAGGTGAATAATTTTGATTGCCGTAGTAGCAATTTATAAGAGTATTTTAAAGCGTTTGTAGTATTTAGAAAGGATTGTGTATTCTTTTAGATTGAAGGAAGAGTACCAGTACCTACGAAGGTAGTTATGCGTAGTTAAAAATACTTCGTTAGCGCGTTTCAGGGTGTCATCATTGCAGTGATTTGTAAGCGCAGATAAATAATAGATTGATGTCGCTATTCATAAATTCTCATCTCTTTTTATCATAGCGTAATAAAAAATGCCAGATTGATTACACTGATTTTGGTTTTATGGTTAAGAGGATATTATTTTCTGATATCCTCGTATGACTTTTAAGAAATAACTTTATGTGAAATATTAAATTGTTATCATTTTAAGGTATAATGTTAGAACAATTTCAGAAAACGATGTACGGAGCGAACGTGATAATATTCGAGGGAATTCTCGCGTTCTACAACGCACAAGTGTTGAGCAAACTCGATATGAGGGTGTTCGTAGATACGGATGCCGATATCCGACTCGCGAGGCGTTTGAGGAGGTCAGTTAAGTTAATACGTACACTTTTTTTTTTTTATGATTGGACAATTCACACCAATTGACCTAGTCCCATGCTAAGCTGGTGAAGCTTGTGTTATGGGTACTAGGCAACGGATATACATACAAACTATAGATAGATAGACATATAAATACATATTTAAACACCCAAGACCTAAGCCCAACACCAAATGCTCATCACATCGATGTTTGTCTTAGCCGGGGATCGAACCCGGGACCCATGGATTCGCAGTCAGGGGTACTAACCACTAGACCAATGAGCCGTCACACTACATTTATAAAATTTAAAGGCCGGCAACGCACTTGCAACTTCTATGATGTATCCTTGTTAAGTGCTCGGTTACTTCCAGTCCCATAAGTCAGCCTTTGTTTAATTTTCAGACGATAATATATCAATAATAGTAGGTTGATCCCGGTTCCTAATTGTTTTAATAATTAGGATTTAAGAGTTTAAAATTGGTCGAGTTTGGAGACTTTGGGGGCAATTGCCCCCAAATACTAATAAAGACGCCCTACCGGACACCCAAAGTAGGCACTCATCGCAACCCATGAACGCCCATTTTCCAGGCGTTGTCGGCCTTTGTGGCAGAAATATATTCTGTCTTGGAGGAGTTTCGTTACGATCATACAAAAATCTTGAGTATAGGCTGAGATTAATGACGTCACAACTCGTTTGTAACATAATTAAAAAAAAAACAGATCCAAGTTTTATGTAATATAAGCGGTGATCAATGCGGGTAGCTGTTAAAACTCTATTTAAAATCTCTTTCAGGGATATAGTCCAACGCGGTCGTGACCTAGAGGGTGTTCTCAAACAGTACATGACGCACGTGAAGCCAGCCTATCAGAACTACATAGCACCCTGTATGGCCCACGCTGATATCATTGTTCCGAGGGGTGGAGAGAACAAAGTCGCCATTTCACTTATTGTACAACATGTCCACAAACAGTTGCAGTTGGTGAGTTCAAACTTAGCGTTAAGCATGAAGTATGTCTTTCTTTTGCGAACTAGCTAGACGGGAACGACTTTCGGTGGGGTCCTCCTAGGGAGAGACCACCACCACTTAAGTATACTCCTCCCTCAAAGGCCGGCAAAGCACCCACGAAAATGAGTCTATAGGCATCGATCTGCTCTTTTTGGGCGTTCCGTAGGTTTATTTGCCCCCCTATTCAATAAAAAAAAATTCAACTACATATTACATAGTTTCGACTCTGAATCTTTCCTTTGATACTTTGATAGTTTTGTCACCATAAACTTATGGATTTTCGCACTACACAAACACTATTCGAATATTTTTTAGGTTGAACTCTCGTATACGTGAATTTATTATATTATTTAATGCAGAAAATAGATATTGCCACATAAAACTACATATTTTTTAAATTTATATACGTAACTGAGACTTGAGACAATCACTTTGTGACTGGTGTGACCCACTATCGCGAAACGAATTTGTATGTGAATGAAATTAGCTGACACTTGGTCACGTGATCATTTTGATAGTACTCGATGACAAGTATCAAAGCCCAGAGTCTATATGGAGAGATAACCGTGGCAGATATGAGGACTATGCATTTGTTCAGAAAAATACTTTAACATTATCTAAGTAGCAAGAATATTACAGTCGGAACTATAATGACGTAACAGTGTTGTCAACATAACAGAAAAATATATTTCTATCTGAAGCGACTTAGACATAGGACGGTTCTCTTTCTATCTATTGTTGTGAAGTTGGTATTTGCAATTTTATTTGTGAAGCATTGGAAAGGATTTTTATTTAAATTTCCTTTGTCATTCATTTCACAACAGTTTGTACACTTTGGAGTTTGTTTAGAAAACAAATATATATCTTAATTATTTATTTAAATTAATTTTTTTTAATATTTTTCAGCGCGGCTTCAAAGTCCGTGAAAAGTTAGCGATCGCGCACGTGGGTCAGCCCGTACCGGACTCGCTCTACGTACTCAAGGATACTCCGCAGGTAGAAAATCTACTACATACATATATATATGTCGGAGAATATTTCTCATTTCATCGATATTGACATCTTCAATAGCGAGTTTATTGGGCGTGCTGTAAAGTGCGAGCATAAAACACAAGAAAAACAACGTACAACATTTAATTTAAATTGATTCCTTATAACACTGCAAATAACACTTTAGCTTAAATTATAACGAGCAGCGGGTTCAAGGCACCGATCTCACGTTTAATCACAATCTACCGAACCATAAATCATATAGACCCAACGTCTCATCACCACAATGTTCCACTGAATACTCAATCAGAAATGCCTTTGGGAGCGTTCAAGTATTACGTCACGCAATTTTTAGAGACTATCCCCCCCCTCGTGTAACGCTCCGTAACGTTTTTCGTGACGATCTAGTGACTCTTAATAACTAAAAGTTACCATTATGTGGTGTAAAGTGCTGGAAAGTCGAAAATAATATTAACAATAACGCCAAATTCAATCCCCGCCTGGAATCGTAACGTTTTACAAAAGCCTCCCCCCAAATTCGTTACGTGATACTTAATCTCTCCCATTCCTGAACGCTCTGTCCAAAGTCAAGATGGCGCCACGACCACACTCGAGGCATTTGCTCTGATTGGTCGTAACAATATTCGTTACATTTATTCGTTAAGTAATGATTCCATCTAAGAATTAATTTAATAATAACAAATTATGAAGAATTAGAAGGAATTCAACGGTCAATTGACTCGATCATAATTTTTGATAATTCTAGCATTCCCTGACATATATATAATATATAACTTATTCTAGGTGCAAGGGCTCCACACATTCATTCGTAACAAAGACACGCCGAGGGATGAGTTCATATTCTACTCGAAGCGTTTGATGCGATTGGTCATAGAGTTCGCGTTGTCCCTCTTGCCGTACTCCGAACATCAAGTGGACACGCCCCAAGGATTCACTTACACTGGTAATTATCTAATTTATAACATTCATTTATACCATAAATATTTTAAATATATTTGGAATCATTACAGCTATAATTATGTAAATAATTTTTTTTAAATGTTTCTTAATCTGCCTGACTCTTGTAGTGTGAGACCTTATTTTATACACATATTTTGTTAATTTCCTAGTATATACATTCCTATTCCTATATATCATTGGAGAGTAGGGTCTCGCGAGTCCCGTCCCTTGTTGACCTTATTTTAAGAATATTTCAATCTTACCCTAACGTGGGAAGTGTATAAGACACTAATTTAAATTGTGTTCAACATAAATAGGTTAAAACATAATTTAATTGATATCTCTCGTTTCTTTTGTTAATTTCCCATTATGTATAAATAATTGTATCGTGCAGGTCGTAAATGCGACGTCGAAAAGATCTGTGGCGTTTCGATCCTTCGAGCCGGAGAGACGATGGAGCAGGCCGTGTGCGACGTGTGCAAGGACATTCGGATCGGGAAGATTCTCATTCAGACGAACCAGCAGACTGACGAGCCGGAGGTGAGCATTTTACACAAGACGTTACAAAGCAAGAACTGTATTAGCCTCAAGGCGAGGCGCGAGTCTCAGAGTTTTTGACAGAGTCCCGCATTCGTCAATGATTTTTTTCTATCTATGTGTACAATTAATACTAGCTAACGTAAAGACATCAAGCACGTCACAATGTAACATTCAAAGCATAAACTTAGCGTTAAGTATGACTTACGTGTGTCAAATCCAATAACTTTTACAGCTGTCAGTCTCAGGATGATTTCTAACTAATTAACAGGTCTTAAAAAAGGCACCAAAGCCTGATATAAAGACCAAGGGTTGTAGCGCCACTTTTTTATTTAAAATTATCGTGTACCAGTAAAGTTCTAAAACTGCGAAATAGTATTACGTAACATTATGAGGGTAGACGCACGTACCCGCACAGTCTTTCAAAGGAAATTTCCATTGTCCAGCTGTACTACCTCCGTCTCCCTAAAGACATAAAGGACTACCGCGTGGTGCTGATGGACGCGACGGTGGCGACTGGGGCCGCGGCCATGATGGCCGTCCGGGTGCTTCTGGACCACGACGTGCCGGAGGAGCACATCAGTCTGGTCTCTCTGCTGATGGCTGAGATCGGGGTGCATTCTATCGCTTACGCCTTTCCCAGGGTGAGATTTATTTCACTAATATTATAAAGAGGAAAGATTGAAAGGGTCTAAATACACGACTAAATTAAAAGATTTGTTTAAAAAGTTTTTTTAATGGCATTTATGATATTTCAATCATAATAATTTATTACCAGAAACAGGTAAATTGATAAACATGTATCCCAGGCTCCTGATATAGTGAAAACAGTATTCTATAGATTTTCGTCTTAGTTAAAAGCCAGTCTAAGTCTGTACTTTTTCGATTCTTCTTTCGATAAATGGACTATCTAACAATTTTCTTCTTACACATCAAACAAACCGTTTAGCTTTATTAGTACAGATTTTCTATAATAGGCGAAATTTAACACTAAATAGAAAATACATCTAATATAACCATACAACGCTGAAATCTCGTAGTATTTCACTCAATAAACCATGAACGCGATGGAGTCTTGGAACTTCTTAACTTATTTAGTTCTTTCCTTTCCATTAAGTTATAGTTAGAAATTCATGATTTTTAAATATATTTCCCATATTTCAATTCTTACGTATTTTGATTTCAGGTGAAAATAATAACCTCGGCGTTAGATCCGGAAATAAACGAGAAGTTCTACGTGTTGCCCGGTATCGGTAACTTTGGGGACCGCTACTTCGGTACGGAGCCCTCTGACGAGGAATGACTGATGACCTAGGAGCGAGAGAGATAGAAATATCCGTGCGCTGCGAGTGAACGAGACGGCAATATGTTTGGCAGTTCCATTTTTAAACGCTTCACAGGTAACGGGTTTGAGCGCTTATAGCACGACTGTATCACTATACATTGTAAAATGTATCTTAACATTAGCTTATTAGGGCGCTGTTTCATTTGATTTCAATATTATTTATCCTGGTAGGGAGAGCCTCGAAACATTTATGGGTGGTTTAAATAAAAAAAAACTAGTTTTAATTAATTTATTTCATTTGTGTAAATCTAGTCAAAAACGTACATAAATGTCGATCGTACGGCGTGTATCGTGGTTTTTAGTGAATTGTACTTATGGCGAACAGTTTAAAGCCAAAGAATTGGTTAAATTAATTTATATTCCTAAAGTTTGATGTGTTTAACTAAAATGTATACAAATGTATGGTTAAAGTAACTTTAAAATCATTGTTAGATTGTTGTGTGCTTAAATCGTCTTAATAAAAAATTGTTCCTATACATTGAAATACTTCTCTAATATATAGAAACTATGCAATCAGTGCATTTAACTTAAAATTATACATATAAGAAATCTTTGTTTGAGCTGTCTTCTACTAACTCGCGCTTCTACTAAGCCGGTGCAACGTCTCCATCCCTTTCTATACGTGAATGGCGAAACGAGAAGCGAAACCTCGATAACCGGAGACTAAAATGGTGCTTTTAATTTCAGAAATGACTTTACAAAATAACACAATAATTAGCATTTATTTTTCTAAGGCAGTAAGGTTTACGTTCATTCCGACACGACGCTGCCATTTTTATCTCTATCGCTTCTCTATCTCTTACAGTATTAAGTTGTCTACTTTACGTAATAAGACTTATCGTAGGTTAGTCTGCTTTTGGGGAGCTTTCAAGTATTACGTAACTAATTTGGGAGGGGGGGGGGATTTACGAGTAATTGTTAATATTATTTTCGACTTTCCAGTACTTTACACCACATAATGGTAACTTTAAAGTATAAAGCGTCACAGAAAAACGTTATGGCGCGTTACCTGGGGGGGGGGATCCAAAAATTGCGTGGCGTAATACTTGAACGCTCCCTTGAAAATTTTAGGTTTTTGTAATTTATTACCGGCAGGTAGGTCTCTGGCATCCGAATATATTGAACTCTCCAATTATTTTAACTTTTACAGTATAAAAAGAATTGGTGTGTAAACAAAAAAATAATATCAAATTTAAAAACTTCAATTATTTTTTTTTCGTCTATAATCGCCAAAATTATTATTTTTATTAAATATCTTATTTATCCCTCTTGACATTAATACACATTATTGAATTATATCTTTTTAATTAAAGGCTTTTAAATTGACACAATTACGTTACAGAGACCATCTTGGTCCGGTTAATTTTATCTCAATTTTCTAATTTAGTATGGTTTTAGTTTGTAAGTTATTTATAAGAAATTAATTTTTTAATATGTTAAAACACGTTCGTTGTATACAGATGTACAAACTTTACCTTACGGTATATTTGGACATTACTAAGGCACGTGTAGAACTGTATGATATACATATTTGTATATTTTATATTAAGCTTTGAATTAGCGGAATATGTTGAATAAATGTATGCAATATAAATCATGATTTTATTCATAATTTTGAAATAAGTAAAAAGAAATACGTTGAAATGAAATCTGCGTACATTTTATGACACGACATTCCTTGTCAACGTCAAAATACGATCTAAGGTCAAAGTTAGGCCGAAATTCAGAACACGTCGATGTTACCAACTAAGTGTCATATGACATGTGGTATTTTTGACAGATTCCGAAGTTTGTTCGCACTTAGTTATCAATTAAAAGTGCGTTTGATCAACGTTTAATGTAATTGTTTGAATAACATTAAAAATCATCGTCGTCTTGTATTGTAAGAGCCATTGACAATGTATGAGTATGAAATATTCGAAAACATAGTTGTTGGCAATTTTGACGCAGCGTTTTCTATACTTTTGGTATTAATAAATGCAATACAAAAGCAAACATTAAAATGGCGCATTTTAAATTCATCTAAATTTATTAGAATATTGACGAACTACCTTGCTTTTTGAACCAACTATCAAAAAATACTGTTTTATTTTATAAAAATGATCTTTGTAACATTAAATCACGTGAATATTGGACAATAGTTAATTCTATAGAACATTTCAATACTAGCTGTCAAACGCTCGTCAAAATTTGACATATCTCAAATCTCAATACATTGTCTATGGCTATCAAAATGAATTTGTAAATCAATGTATGATTAATATAATATAATTGATACATTACAACTAAGTCGTGTTAAGCACAACAACGGTGTACGACACTAATGTAATAATTGTGAATATAAAACAAAAAAATATTAAAACGATAAACCTATAATTAGTTTTTTATTATGGCAACATTGAGATCACGGTATTGATGTTAGTAAAAAAACTAAAAGAATCTTGAATAGATCTAGGATACTCGTCTGGTTTTCCATACTGAATTTTTTATGTTCTGTAAAAAAAAAACTAGCCTAGAAAAATATAGTGCAAGGTAGAAGACCTGGGTGCTGATACACGTCTTGTTTGATCTTCGGCAATGGTTTGATCAAAGCATCAAGTCATTGTTCAGAATTGCGGCAATTAAAGTAGCCATGATGATCGCCAACTTTCGAAAAGAGTTGTTACTAAGAAATTTAACCTAAGACAAATGAATGAAACGATTGGATAAACAGCCTTTTTAAAGTTTCAAAAGATCCTTGTAGCTTTTTCTTGCAATGGCCAAGTATTTTAAATAACCTATGTAGAGTGCGGAGCTTTACTGCGACTTATTTTACTTTAAATGTGGTGAAAGACCAAGTATATATTAAAAATCACTACAACTAAATAAACGTACACTCCCCGGTGTTGTCGTTAAGGTATATTTAGAGGCATTTTTTTTTAATTTTTTGGGTTAACATACTTATAAAATAATATTTCATTTTGACAATCGATTGTGTAACTTAATCAACTGTCTTGGCCAATATTCTAATAATTCTAATAATTGGCCAATATAACCAAAACGGCAAATTACTATACACCATTTTTATTTAGCAATAGTTAAAAAAATTTTTTAAATCATCGTCAAAACTGTTTTTTATTTTATTGTTGACTATAGAATGGCAACACTGATTTATTTTCTTAGGGTATATGAATGAATTTGTTTTAAAGTGAGAAATGATTATTATTCAAGTTTACAACAATCGATGTCAAAAAGTTGTCAAATATGATCGCAAGTGTCCAGGTATCTCTGGAAGACAAAGTCAAAATGTTCGCGCTTCGTGCTTGCCGCTTCGTGGAGCTGATTTTTCCTGAAAAGAATCGTCAAAATTTACAACAAATATTACTTCAACATTGCAACTATTCACAACTTTCTTTCTCTGCCTTAAACGCACATAGGTTCGCCACATACTGGGCATTTTTCTGCTTTTTAATTTGTTCCAAGAGGTGGAACTCCTTAGTCTTTTTTTTCTATTTGAACTACCTACCATTTATTTTTGCACCGTTTTTGTAAGTTTGAGAAAGTAATAAATTTTAAGTGCTCCTAATTTATCGTCTATGAAAAGTTTTTTAACTAATATTAAAACAATGGGAGATATTTGTGGCCCCGAAACAACTATTGTTTTTTTCCGAAATCAAATCGCTACGCCATTTGGGAACCAATAGTCACGAAGTTTTATAATCCCTGTTACTCACTTGTAATACTCCTCGCACTCCTCCATAGTGACGTCACTGCTGATAACACGAGACCCAAAACCACTATAGTAGGTAATGTAGCGTTGCTGGAAACAAATACGCTTTAATTAGAATATATTTGATTCTTATATTGAAATTTTGAATATTTTTTTCTTAGTTTAAATTTGTCGCTGTTAAAAATATCAATCACAGATAAAAAATCTTTTATAAGTATTGATACGGGTCTGTCAAACCAATCTATTTTTAAATTTTTTGATAGCGCTCAAGATAAGATTATAACTTAAATCTATGGTAGGTAAGTGTTAAGTAGAATTTTCTACTAACCTGAACATGTTTCGAAAATATCTGTTCAGCGACAATATTGGCAGCAATTCGCAATCCCTTGGCGATGGTATCAATATATTTAACGTAACAAACAACCAAGTCTCGTAGTTCTGTATCGCGTGGTACCGATACCTTTAAGTTGATACCGCCCGGTGGGATGCAATTCTAGAACGTAACAAATATTTTGTAGAAAGAAAGAAAATAACGAAAAATATTTGCTCAATCTTTCTAATCTAGCACGACCGAGAAGAAAAGAGAAAAGGGTTTCAGAAACAAGAGAGAGAGATTCAAAACGGAGTCAGACTTACTAAGTCTCGCTTCTGAATCTTACTCTAAGATCAATGCGCAATAGTTTTTAGAAAATACAGCTTTTAATTAATAAATGTAAGAAAAGTAGTAATAAGACTAAATGTCATAAGTCAATTTGTTATTTCTTGCTGTCGATATTTTTAAATCATCCATTTTTATTCTTATTCTTAGGCAGAACCTAATGTAGACCATAAATACCTGATCAATGATACTTTTCATCATCAGCGTGACATTCTTATTATTTGACAAATCGAACTGATTTGACACTGACACGCCGCCCAGCATATTGTATCTAAAAATATATTTAATTAAGATAGTTAATTGAAACTCGAGTGTGTGTTTCAATACTGAGAAATTTTAATGAAATGCTAAATAATTATAATTTAAGACTAGATTCAATCTTGTTGGGTTTAAACATCAGAGAAAAATAAAAGCAAAAATTTGACCATACAAACGTTAGGTTTACTACTAAAATAAAATTGCAAGAATGTTTATCTTATATTATGGTAATAATATACTTACACATTGGCCATATACATGTGGTGTCCTGGCGAAGAACAAACTTTGTACTGCCGATCCAAGCCGTAGTTCTTCAGGAAGTACAAACAACTCGTAATATCCCACATATAATAATTAATCATTTCTTTCAATTTTCTCTCACAATATGGCATTATCAACAATTGTATTTTGGAATTCAAACGGTCCTTATATTCTGCAGTTATTTTAAGTAATTTCACAAATAACTTCAATTCTCTGGCAACATCGGATTGGAATATTGCGTCATAGCCCTCTCGGTGTGGCCATATCATGAAACATTCGCCATTTAAACGATGTGTTACTTCGAGGCATTTTTTAATCTGCGACGCGGATTGTGCGAACACATTGGCGTCGTTGTTTGTGATTGCTCCCGTTGTGTAGCTGTAAAAACCGCTTGCAAATTTATAGTCTAAGAAGTTTTTAGTAAAATAATTAATAATTACCAATATACATTCAAACAAATACAATATCGAGCGTTATTATCATTGTAATGTCTGCGTGTTACGTTGATTATTTTTAGGGTTTCACCGGGAATCAAAGCCACAATATCTGTTTGTTTTATTCATAAATTATTTCAAATCTCAATATTCAAGAACCATTAATCAATTTAGATGTAAACATTGGTAATAAATAAGTTTTACTTTTAGTAGCTACAACATTCGCGGGAAAACAAAATTATTCAATTCAATTTTTTCATAAAAAATATATATTGATATTTCGTAAAGGACTATTTTCTAATTGTATGAGGCAAGGTTGATTTTGCTCACTCAGGCTTTAGTTCAGTTTTATAAGCGTGGCGATTTCCTAAATCGTCGGAGTTATACCCCGAGACTCGAGAGTATATCCAGAGTCCAGACGCAGGCACTCTCTTTATCTGTTACATTGCATTCATTCGTTTCATAGAAATTAACATTTAATTATTCGCTTATATTCTATTGTTGTACGCGAGTGGTTAGTATAGAGTAAACCTAAAATCCTCTATTATTTAAAGCACCCCGATGACCCAGTAACCGTACATTTTGGTCCTGTACAGACCAAAATGTACGGTTTACAATACAATAATATTATATTAATATTTCTTACCGTGGATGCATCTGCAGATCAGGCGCCAACCAGAGCAACTTAACATGGTATCTCTGGCTCAACTCGTGAACATATTCCACAATATCATCCCAGTTGGTTTTATTCTCGTCCCAACTGTCCGTTATCGGTAGCAAATCGGAATCCAAAGCTGTCCAGTATTTGATACCGAGTTTCGCACAAAGATCGAAGAAGGCTCTTATGCATCGCTTGTAGTTGTCTATGGACTGGGAATTGTCATCCCAGGGTCGATGGTTGCTGATTTTCGGGTATTCGGCACCTATAGTTTAGTCAAAATCTGTTACAACGACATCGAAGGGTCTCATATTTGGTCGTAATAACCGGTAGTCGTAACAGCCGATGACGTTGTTATTAAGTAGATACCTACCTAAGACCTTTGATTTTGGTCTTTATAACCGGTATGTCGTTCTAAACGATTTCGTTGTAAACGGTTTTGACTGTATAACCAAGTAGTACTCTGGTTGATGCAAATACTCTAGGCCCTGTGTTTAGATACATAATTGATTCACAGACTGACTAATAAACACCAATGGGTGTTTATTGGTGACTTCAGTGCCAGTGTCTGTGCTCCGTGCACCTTTGCTTCATTAAGCAACGGCGCACGGAGCTCTGTTCTCAAGTTACTTTGGTCGAGTGGCTAGTATGTTCGAGCACAGATCATGATATTCAGAGTAATGTATTTTAACTACCTTTCTAAGTTGAGAGTTGACGCTGTAATAATACCTTATACCTCTCAATAGAGCATTCGAAACAAAAAAAAACATCCGACTAGAAAATACTAGTTAACAAGATTTCTATTCTAATTTGTTTGTTAAATACTAAAATGATCTACTTGGTTTTACAATAAATTATCGATTGAAAAACTCGAGTAAGAAAATTTTTCATTAAAAAAAAAATATAATTTAATATAGAGGCAGGGGCCCTCCATTCCTTAGTTACCGTGAGGCCTCCAACTCTCTAAATCCTGTCCTGTTACTACTAGAGCAGACTATAATAGTAAACTGGAGGACTGGAATATTATCTTACTGGCATTCCTGAATTCAGTGAGTGATAGGCTGTATTTCAGCCAATCCTCCATTGTCTTAGCGTGCACGCGCTCCGTTGCGTTGTAGTACCGATAATTCAATGTATCGGTCGCAGACGCAGCATTATTGTACTCGATCTTTTCTATTCCTATGAAAAAATACAGTTTTGTTAGTTAATGCTTTGAGACAGTGTTACAAATGAGACGATTTAACAATCATTTATACAAAAATAACATAATTTTTATATATTTTGAAATAGGCTTCTACTGTGTAACGATAGAAATCTATACGTAACGTAACAAAAGCATAATTATACATATTACGCAAAATTTAACCCACCCTGAAAATAGTCTCCTGCTTCAGCTCTCTCCTTCACCTTCTGCCGCTTTCCACCAGGTTGACTGTACGTAGTCATTTCGACACTAACCATGCACCATACTTGGCGGTAAATCTTATATAATATCCTTTGAATAGAACTGCCCAGTTGTAACGATCGCATTACGCTTTGTTCTAAACTTTGTTTGGGTAAAGTGATACGTTTGAAATACAAGTACAAATAGTTTAGTATTTCTATGAAAATATTTTAACCGACTTTAGAAAAGGCGGAGGCTTATAATTCTATGGTTATTGTGGACTTTTGCATCTGATCAAGCATACCAAAGAGCTCCGATCAATCATACAAAAATGGCCAGATATTTTTTACCCCATTTATATAAACGAATCAATTCTAAATATATTTAATTAGCATATTTAAGTCCATAATATTTCATTTAAAGGAAATTATCTAAATATCTTATAAATCTTCAAAATTAATTAAGAATTACCCAGTGACCCATTATGGGAAAAAGTTTTTTTTTTTTGTTACAGTGAAATTGGCACGGTCTACTATCGTCGCCATACCACACACGTACATACGCTCTCCCTCTATCACACACACCTTTATTGCTACTAATTTCTAACTAGTTGACTGTTTTGTTTTTCTTTTCTTATTTAAAACGTTAAATTTGTTTGCCTACCCATATATGTATGTACTTTTTGTTACCACTCAGTATGACGTTGCTGCGGAATGGAAGCCTGGTTATCCATATCACAGGTTCTTACCTAGCTTGGTAACCAGTCTCCCAATACCTTCTCAAGTGTAATCTTAATGTTTGTTGCAAATGTTATATGCGAGAAAATAAATTATTATTTTGAAATGTCAGACAATAAATAATTTTAATATCTACTAAAATCTAATAAACCTACAACCAAAATGTATTTATTTTTATTCCTTGCGTTATTAATAAAATGGGCAAAGTTTTAGTTTAGTTTAGTAGCAACAGCTCAATAAAAATCTCTTTGAAATACAGTCAAGACTATTGTCAAAATAAAATAATAAACCATAGTAAAATAATTTATTCTATAAGAATATCCACAACAATCGTAACAAAACCGCGGCAATTATCACCAGAAGCGGTATTGGTATCTTGTTAGGTCTCTCCCGAAGACCTGAGACCTGACCTTTCTTCATTGGCTTCACGAGACCTGGCATCGTCGGTTTATCAATCGGTTCTCCCATCATGGAGAATTTGGTGGCACTGACAATTTTGACATTCAGCATTTTGCCCATATATCTCTGCTCTTTGGGTACCAGAACCTGTTCATAGAATTCGTTGTGGGCCACGAAATAATTTTTATCGTGGGACACATCCGTCACTAAGACCTGTTGGGTCTCTCCAACTTTGTGGCCGTACGGCTCGTACGATCGGAAGAATTCCGAGAGAGCTTTCGTACGTTTCTTGACTTCTTGGCCTGGGACCTGGAAGAGGGTATCCGATCAGACTTGCAGCCACAATGGTAATAAAAAAATCATATTTCTCACTGATCAAAATACAAAAGCTACACGAAAAATTTAACAAATTGTGGGTTAATAGTAAGTGTAACCACTTAACTTGGAATGTATTATTTTGCAACATAATTTTCGTATTATTTTTTTTCTTGAAAATTGATTAAAATTTAAATTATAAGTTCGTTGAGAACAATGTTCCGCTGGTTTTTATCTGATTTTAAAGTTATTTTACTATTTATAATAAAATAAAGCAGAATACACACCGCTTTAAAGAAAAGTGTTTTTCGAAATTCTTATGCTAAAATCTACTTATAAATGATACTCTCTTCTCTAAAAGTACTCTTCTGCCTCTTTCCTTCACATTGTATTTAATTTAACAATTTACTTTTGTCTCTTTTCTTCACATTGATTAAATAATAAGAGTAAGCTATAATTAGCCTAATATAGTTTGTATGAAAATTATCATTATTGTGAAATCACGAATATATAACGAGTTTATAGCTAAGTTCAGATATATTTTAAAAAGAATAATGTTGTATCAGCTTTGTTTTAAAACCTACCTTTCGCATATTGGCGGCGGGCGTTCCAGCTCGTGGAAAGAACTGGTTGATGAAGAGCGACGGGAACTTGTACTGACGACACAGAGACATCGTGTCTTCGAAGTCTTTTTCCGTTTCCGTTGGAAATCCGCAAATTATATCAGTCGCTATTGTCATTCCAGGAACCCTAAAATTATTATTTCTAATTAATTTTGTGCAATCTGAAATAAAACTCGCGAATCGAACCCCGGATCGATAAATACTACTAGTTTTGGCCTAGTTGCTTCAGTGTGCGACTCTCATCCCTGAGGTCGTAGGTTCGATCCCCAGCTGTGCACCAATGGACTTTCTATGTGCGCATTTAACATTCGCTCGAACGGTGAGGGAAAACATCGTGAGGAAACCAACATGTCTTAGACCCAAAAAGTCGATGGCGTGTGTCAGACACAGGAGGCTGTTCACCTACTTGCCTATTAGATTGACAAAATATAATCACGAAACATACAGAAATCATAAAAACGGTTGTAGCGCCATTGATTTATTTTACTTTTATTAATAATGATAAAACAAGCACTATTTGTATTTATTTAAATTATTATTATTATTAAATGTGTTCAAAACTAACTTTTCTCTTAAGAAATCAACAACTCTTTGGAAGTCTGCTCTCGTGTACTCCCGTTTCATATCCACCAGTACCTGATCGCTGCCCGATTGTACGGGCACATGGAGGAACCTAAAAAGCAAAGATTACTTATAACTATTCATGACATTGGTGCGGCTCGCCTGAAACATCTTTGAACTATATTTAAAACAGGATTTAAAACTTAATAACAATTTAGGTCCAACTGAATTGACCACTAGAATATTAAAGAAACTTATTAATTGAGTTAAAGGAGCTTTGTTCAGTCCGCAAGCTAAATGCAAGTGTAATTTCAATAAAAAGGAAATTTCAAAAACAGTGTAAACTCTTAATAACGAATTTCAAGGGACCGAGCATTTTAATTCGTTATAGAAAGATGTCGTTATAACGATTGATGTTATAAAGAGTATTCACTGTAATTGTAATTGAAGTGGAAGTTAAAGTAAAGTAAGTTAAATTATCTAAAATGGAGAATGGACTCATGCTAAAATTCTGTATCAAGTACTCTTACATTATAATATATTGTGTATTATATGCTGTATACGATATTGTCCTGGACCAGTAGGAAAACAAAATAATAAGAAAATAGAAAATCTTTAATATTTAAATGGACAACTTTAAGAAACTAATTTAAAAAGCTGGCAACGCACTTGCGAGCCTTCTGGCTATGTGAGAGGTGAGCCTCCTGTTACATTAAAAAATATATCAATACTTGTAAACTCGCGGATGATGCATGATTCGAGCGACCTCTTCCAAATGTTCAAGTATATAAGGTGGGTTCGTCATTCCTAGCCTCAGACGGCAACCCTCAGGAATCACTTCAACCAACTGCCAGAGTAACTCGGGCAGAGAAGTGCCAATGTCACGGCCATATGTGCCTTAAAACGGTAACAGTGTAATTATTTAATCTAAATAGAAGGATGGAAAAATTTGAGAAGATATACATAGACTAGAAACTATACTTTATTTCTTTTTTTTTTTGGTTTTATGTATCCCAGACGTCCACATGTTACACAGCATAATGGTAATCAGGAAAACAAAATGTTATTGAGAAGATATCTTAAACGAAAAAGAATTATTACAAGACTTTTTTTGTTTTTTATTATAATTGATTGGTTGATATTACTTGGATCTTACTTAATTAGTAAACCTATAACGCGGTAGCCCCGGACCGCGTAATAAGAAATCGCGTTGGAGTATTAGGAGTATTCTCGTACAACCGTTTTTTTGAACAAATCAAAAACTAGGAACACGAATTTAATAAAATGACTTAACAAATCATTATAAATTTCACAATACTGAAATATAACTCGAGAAATCTCTGCTTTAAAAAGGGGAAATACCTACTGTATTATATAGGGCCGGAAATCGTTTTATACGAAAACGCGTGATAGGGGGGATTTTAGGGAAATTTTAGAAATACCAGTTTTAGGGTATAGATTCAGAATTAATTAAAAGTTTTTTTTTTAAATATGAAATATTAAAATATAAAATCAGTCTTTTTGGACTCTTTTATCTAAACTGCTCTTTACTTTTGTTTTACTGCTGTGATGACAAAAGAAATATTAAAGTTTAGTTATAAAAGGTAAATTAAAATCTTCCCAATATTAAAATAAATGATATTATTACCGGTATCTTCACTTGTCAACCATATCTCAACCACTCCCTCCTTAAATGACTGTCTTGCCCGTTCCACAATTTCTTCCGGTGGGTAACTGCCCAGTTCTCCTCTTGCATGTTTGGTCTTACAATATGTGCACTGATTAAGACATCCTGTGTTTATAGATATTATTTCTATGAGAGGGTTCTTCCGCACTTTAGGCAATAATAGTGATGCACCACCTGCTTTCCGGCCATTGCTAGTTTTCTTAGTGCCAAATAGACGGACCGTGTGACCTATAATGATACATACTTATTTAAAAACAAAAACAATAAAAATCTGAAAATGCACTGAGATGGATAGGATACAGGATCAGATACAAAGGAAAGAACAATGAATAGTCTACTCTCAAAAATCACAGCAATGTATAACATGAGGCAAACAAATCTACTGCCTGGTTAATACATAGTTGATCTCAGCATTAATCTAAAATTCTTGAATGCCATAGGGAATCTTAGTTCGAAAAATCTTTTATCCCTTATTAAATTATTTACCTTTTAATGTTTCCTCCACAATCTCAACAATTCTATCAATTTGCTGTACACCCACAACACTGAGGCCGGTGAGGTAGTTGGCCCGGGGAGCTCCCTGAGGCACACACCCAGCAACCACAACATGGATACCACGATTTTGACCCAGTTCTATCTCATTTCTGAAATGAATATTCAATGTGTTTAAACTTAAATAGACTTTGTGGATGTCAGCAAGAAAAACCAGCTTCTTATTCTTGTCCCCTTCTCATAGGTCTAAATGAAACATATAATACATAAATATTTACTTGAAATGATCCTCTGATGGACTCTTAACAGTACAAGAGTTCAGTAACCAAAGTTGCGCCTGCCATTTATCTTCTGTGAGATTGTAGCCATGAGTTGCTAATAAACCTGCCATGTATTCTGAATCAGAATTGTTGTGAGCACACCCCCATGTCTTTACATATATAGTTTGTGTTCCTGAAATTCGTGATTGATATTTGACTTGTGATTAATATCACAGGCATAATGCCTAGTGAATTTTAAAGTTATGATATTTCATCAGGAAAAATTAGATATAACTATAACAATCAATATATATTCAATATTTATATTAGTCAACAAATTTATTTGGCCTAATCTTTTAGTTTTAGGTTACCTGGTACTACACTCTCCAAAATGATTTTTTCAGCAGGCTCTGCTGTTTTATTTTCACGCCGTTTCGACCGTACACTAACATTTTTTCTACTTGCATATCTTTCTTTAGGTGTTATATCTTGAGATGATATTAAATCTTCGATATCGTCAATAATTTCGGAAAATGCAGCTGGCATTTTTAATTTTCGTCAATTATTTATTTTAGTTTTGACGTTTATCAAATGTAGTCTTAACGAAAATTTATGTCAATTGCTATATACAGAATATAGAATGTGGATGTCGATCTCAATCACAATCAACACAATTGTCAGTTTGGACTGTCAGGATGTCAATCATAACAAGTTGACTCATGACTCTCACTGGTGAGTGGTGCAAGCTTAAATAAAAAATAAAAATGCCAGTGGCGCGCTAAAGTTGTGTAGGATATGTTGTACCGAAGTTACTTTTAAGTTTTAGCGAACATTATCGTAACAATATTTTAGTTAAGTTTAGTGAATATCAAGATTAAAAACTGCAGCAAACAACACTAGAAAATATGTAAGTTTAACATTTCACCAGTAAAATACGAAATTTTACCTCAAAAACAACAATTATAACTTTTTATACACCGTATACTTGATTTTTTTTTATTAGAAAACTGATTATGCGCGTTTAGTTTATAATTTAAAGATTAACAAAATCATAACTATGATTCAAAAACTCCTCCACTTTATTATTTCACTTTAGTAATACTGAGTACCCACTAACTCCATACACTTTTTGACTTTGTACTTTTCATATTTAAAGTTTAAATAAATAACAACCTCAATCATTCCATAGCATTAACGATCCAGATAACTTAAACCTCTTCCTAATCTTGTTTTGTAATTTATCGTATTTTGTAGCCCCTTTGCCCAATATCGCGCAAAAAATAATACGACCCCTGCGCACGCGTTCCGACCACCTGCCGCTATTCGATTCTTATAGATAGCCGATGCCCGATAGGTATTGAAAGTTTGCTTACCTATTGACTACGATTTTGGTTTATCGTTTATCCATAATATTATATTATGTAATCTAAACTATTAAAAAGTAAAATTGAGCAATTTTTTTTTTAATACCAGTGCAGTTATGACTTAAAAATTAAGTAATTTACTTATTAAGTAGTACGTTGTTTTCGTCCTTATCTGGAAAATGCTATATTTGGTCGAAAAATGCTGTAATAAGCCATCTACATACGTTTTTATTTTAATTATACTAAGGTCAGAGGAAATAAATCCAACACAGCCACAAAGACCAATAACTTATCAAATAAAATTATTGCGCGCGATTTAGCTATAAAATATGAATTATCTACAAAGGTCGGAAGCTATCTCGCGATCTTTCTCCTCGCGTCCTAATTTGCACGATATGTGCCAACTTGTTTTATTACTAAAATAACTAAGTATAAATGTGTATTTTAGTACGAATAATCATACTAAAAGTAAAAATGAATTCTGTTTTATTGTCATAATTAATATTAATTGTAAAATATCATAATTGAAAATAGTGTGTTATACGACTTATTTTTAGTAAAGTGGAGTGAGGAGTCGTAAATTTGTGCAATCACCATTTTTTTTCTATCGCCTTTTACGACTTGTATGTAGTGCCTTTAAACCCCTTTAAAAATTAAAAACTCTTACTATCTAATATATCAATATGAAAATAGCCTTGCTGGGATAGTAGTCAGCTAATTTGGTTAGTGATTTCTTTTCGTAACATCTTTGTTAACTTAATTATACCATTCGTGATTTAGAAACTCAAAGGGCGTGTAATGTGGTGTGGGAAATACTCAAGGATTTGTTCACTTATTTAAAGTGTGAAAATATTTCGGTAGACGTAACGAACACTAACTTGAGTCCTTGTTTTATACTAGTGAATGGCCATGATGATAATTAAAAATTATATTTATTTATTTATTAAAATTTACCATATCCTACATAGAACTAAATCTACGGTGTTACATACTCTTTTATCTAAAATGTGTGACCATAAATGTTACAAAAAAAATTAAAGAAATGGCCGTTTTATTGTTGACTATGATAACTTCAGGGTGTCGGTTTTTTGTGACGGTGTGCGGGTGTCGGATTATTGTGCGCGCGCATCGTAAAAATGTATTCTCATCATTTTTCCCTAACGCGCCAATAATTTTTAAGCAGAACTTCGTTTTCGGTTCGAGATAAGCACTTAACAATGCTTTCTTTAAAACCGATCAGTCCACTACCGAAAATATCCAGCTCCGGAAAAGTTAAATCCATTAAAATGGCGAAGAATTCGAAAAAGAAGTGCCTGAACTACTATGTTGGTTTTTGCAGAAGGAATTTAGAAAGAGGTCACTGCTCTGTACTTGATTATTTAGCAATTTATACAAGAACGTAACACCGGCTAAAGATCTTCGTTCGTATAGTGATATCATATTAAATTTCTTAAGACGCTGTTGGTATATGAAAATCTGTACTAATGAATCAATACTCAAAATGACCCAGAGAAAGAGAAACGAAAATAGAAATTAAATGTTTTATTATAAAAGAATTAAGTAAATGGGAAATATGGAACCTTTTCTAAGTAAAGACGGATACGGATATCCGGTATACAAAAAAGAAAGCCATGTTCAATGAGATAAATTCTCATGCTATTTAAAAATAAACCCTAAGCAATTAACACGAATTAAATTACTTTATACAAATAGTTACTTAACATAATTTAATACATTTTTAAAGATGATATTGAAACGTCTAGGCCAACACTGCTCAAACGTCGTTGTAAATAATGTAAAAAAATTGCGTTAAAGAATATTTAAAGGTACAGAGCTCATAAAAAACAAAAACAATTTATTGGATCAACATTAATAATTAATATTAATTGTTGCGTCCCGATTCAATTAGAAAACTTAGGGCAATGGTCGTAATTATCTCTTATAAAAAAAAAACATATTTTCATTAACAAAATTGGATAGAAAATTCTACTGTAATAAATTATCTGAACGATTTCGATTGAAGGCTGTACTGGCAATAATCGATTGACATTAGCATATTGGTCACACAAGCCACATGACCAGTCATAAGATGTCGTATTTACGGTAGTTACGTCAGGCTGGCAACACTAATTGTCTGGTGGGATAAATGCCCCACATACACTAATTACACATGCAATTGCTCATTGACTAATACCGCTTTGTTTATATTTAGAGCAGGTTATTCCGCCATATTTGTAGTTGCAGACTTACGAATGAATTTAAAATTATGCTAAAAATTAAACTGATTTGATATTCAACATTTTAAGAGGATGGCAACATCGTGATAGCTATCTTCTTCAGTTGAACTCTTCATTTCTGAAGTTCGTGTCAGTGGCATCGCACAACTTCCTCCACTCTCCCCTGTCCTTGGCAAGGCTCTGCGCCTGTTAAGACCCATAAGGGCCTTTACTTGATCGGTCCAGCGAGTAGGGAAACGACTTGAGGTCTGGTGCCCTCCACTCTGCCAGTCACGATTAGGTTTTCTAGACTTTCTGGTTTTCTGCGTGTCACATGTCCAAAATAACGTTGGTAACAAAGTGTCGTGATAGCTGTAAATAAAAATAAATCAATGGCGCTACAACCTTTTTTAGGTCTAAGCCTCAGATTTCTGTATGTGTTTCATGATCATTTGTCAATCTAATAGGTGATCAGCCTTCTGTGCCTGACGCACGCCCTCGACTTTTTGGGACTGACATAAGTACAGTTAAATCGCGAGTTAAGCGCCTCTAAGAAAGTCTATAAAAATTTCTATATTCGTTCGACCTACCCAATTACCTCTTAGCTTATTTTTTTTTAATAATATCTCTTTCTTCTCAGTATTATTGTCAATTATACAAAAAAAGACCTCCACTTATAACTATAGATATTTTCGTAAACATTTTCAAGGTGATTCTCAATGCCAGACTGAAAATGGCATCTATTCAATTATCAATAGACCTAAATGGCTTTGTTGATATCAATAGAAATAATTTAAATACGACATGTACGTCACTCGTAAATTTTAATCTGTATTTATAATATGAAAATATTAACTTCATCTTACTCGACAAAAATACGACCACAGAATATGTAATCTAGATATTTCTATTAACACTCTCCTATTTTAGTGAGAAATAGGTCATTACGCTAAATATAATTTTAAACTTAGGTTAGGTTTTAAATCTAATTATTTCAATAAACTTGATCTAGAGTAGTGCAATAATATTTGGCTAAAACTTTTGACTCACCTAACTGGGAAATACCAAAATAAAAATGGTAACCATAAAACTTGCGATACCGAGATTATTTACTGGCAAAAACCCGCGCGACACACCTCTTCGATTTTCGTTTATGTTCACGATGTTTTCCTTCGCGGAATGTACAGGTTGATATAAAAAAAATGAATAGAACAATCCATTAAGGCTTTACGTCCTCAGGCGTGAGAATCGATCCTTGATATTGCTCCTATGAAAATATATCCTTGCAGGATGCAATATTACTATAATATCAATTTTATTATAAATGCCTATAATTCTAAACGATTTAGGCAAAAGTCAAAAATCATTTATTCATATAGGTAACACAATGTACAGTTATGAACGTCAAAAAAGAAATATACATTAATTAATGCTTCTAATTTTATATTACATTTACTGCCAGTTCTCAAATCAAGGGCGTAGAACGGAAAAGAAGAACTGGCAATAAACTCTCCGCCACTCTTTTTAATCGCCAAGTTTTTGTTTTACACAACGTTTGTAAGGAGCCATTACACCATGTTCCACAAAAACAAAGATTTGTCTTCTATCATCAGGAGGCATGGTGAAATAGGACTACTAATAGTTCTACTATTACTACTGTATATAAAATCTATGCTGTTCGTTTGTCTTGCTAAAACTCGAGAATGGCTGGACGAATTTGGCTAATTATGTTCTTGAAATATTGTAGAAGTTCAGGGAAGGTTTAAACGGTGGAAAACATAAATAATAAGTAAATAAAATTCCTATAATCGACATTTTAATTTCCCAATAGAAAGAAACTGTCCCTAGCTAAGAAATATTTGATGTGTTTTGTCTTGTTAGAAATAAAAAAATCGTCACTTGGTTGTCATATATTTATAGACAAAAATATATGTTTCATAGCTGGTCTCGATCTCATTGATCTGTT